GCCACGTCAGCTCCGCCGCCGCCTCGTCCAATTGCGCGCCGCCACATCGTCCCGGCACCCCGTCTCTCCACCGCACGGCCCGCCGAGCCCATCGCGGGCCCGCACGGGCCCATCCCGTCGCCGCCGCCTGCCCGCGGCCTCCCGAGGCACGCGCCGCCCGCGGGGCGCGCCGCCCGGCCGCCTCATCGTCGCTCCACCGCGGAGCCGCTGCTCCAGCGACCTCGCCCCGCCGACGCACCACCGCACCGCCCGCCGGACCCGCCGTCTGCTCCGGCGTCGGCCGGTTCCCGCGTCCCTAGGCCGCCGTCGCCGCCCGGTGCGCCGCAACGCCGCCCTGCTGTCCGGCCTCCTCGTCGCCGGCGCACCTCCCCCTCGCCGGCCCCTCTTCTCCGGCGCCACTGTTCCGTCCACGAGCTCCCCGGCGTTCCTCATTCTGCGTGCCGCCCGATTCGGATCTCAGATCTGAAAATACCCCCTCGGTTGACTTTCTCGTCCCTAATCCTAATTATTTTGCATACTTTGACCTGCCATAACTCTGCATCCGTAGCTCCGTTTCGGGTGTGTAGCATATCAAAATGTTCGTCTCGACGAGTACATCATTTCATCTCATTGCATCATTTTCATTTGAGCTCATCTTGATGCCCGAAATGCTGTTGGAAGAGGGCTATGTGGTGAATTTGTCAGATCTATTTCAGCAAATGGCATTTTGTCATTTTTGCCATGATTAATGTGTGCATGATATGATTCTGAGCTCTACATGTGTTTTGTTATATGCCATGCCATCTTTATAGGAGTGCTTGCCATGTATTTTTGTGATATTTATGGTGACTAGTACAAGCTTGCAAAGTAGCGTAATTGGTAATGCTGATTTCAGGGACTTAGAATTTCACTAAGGCCTTGTCGTGATTTTGTTGTTATGCCATATGTTCATGTTGTTTCCTAGTGATCTGTGCCTCTTTTGAGGATGATCAGCAAGGATGTTTTGTTAACATTGTGGTGCTCTATCCATCCATGTCTTTGTTTGTATTTACGGAGCACCCTAGCTTGAGTCAATCGAGCTCTACTTTTGCTATATCGTGAATCCTGACAGATTGTTGACTTGTTAGCGATTTTGCCGAAGATGTTGCTATTGATCCGTGCATGCTATGATGTTGTTCTTGCCATGTCTAGCTTTTATGCCATGTATTCTTGATGGGTGTATGCTTAGTTTGTCATGCCATGCTCTTTAGTGAGTGCATCGAGCTCGTAAACATGCCTACTCGTTAACTAATTTGCATGCTCCAGTTTTTCACTAAGTCTGAGATCTGTTTATGTTTTTGCCATGTTCACATGCTTGTAATTGTATTTTCTGATCCCTTTGGCTCAAGGTCACTAAGGGACTTTTGTTAAGTGCTTTGAGTAGCTTCATCCCATGCCTTGCTTTGCCATGTTAAGTTCCTGTAGCATGTAGTTTTCATGCTCTAAAGTGTGCTTCCTGATGATAAATCCCAGACTTGTGTTAATTTCACTAAGTCTGAAACCTGTTATCATTTTCACTTTTGCCATGCTTGTTTGAACTTGTTAATGGATGAATTAGCCGTAGCTCAGTGTTCATCTTTTGTCAAGCATCATGAGTGGATCCCTGCCATGTATTTTGTTGCCATGTTTGAGTGCTGTAGCATATTTATCTTGATGCATTTAGTTGGTCATTTGCTGAATATCGCAGACCGGTGCCATATTTGTTTTGCTTGCCATTTCCAAACCGTGCATCCGATTCCGGTGATCTTTATATCGATCTCGACCGAAATCACCTCACCTTTCCAGTGGCACTCTTGGATTTCCAAGTTGGGGCCAGGTTCAATTATTCTTTGTCAAATCATGCATATGCATCACATACCGCATCCCGCATATCATACCATGTTCGTGTGTTGGTTGTTTACTATGTTGTGTGCTTCTTTCCGGTGTTGCTTCTTCGGGTTGGTTCCGATAACGTCGCGTTTGTGAGGACCCGTTCGACTACATCCGTTTGTCTTTTTCATGGACTCGTTCTTCTTCCTTGCGGGATTTCATGCAAGATGACCATACCCTCGAAATCACTTCTATCTTTGCTTGCTAGTTGCTCGCTCTTTTGCTATGCCTATGCTGTGATACCTACCACTTGCTTATCATGCCTCCCATATTGTTGAACCAAGCCTCTAACCCACCTTGTCCTAGCAAAACCGTTGTTTGGCTATGTTACCGCTTTGCTCAGCCCCTCTTATAGCGTTGTTAGTCGCAGGTGAAGATTGAAGTTTGTTCCTTGTTGGAACATGGAGATGATGTTCCTTGTTGGAACATGTTTACTGGTTGGGATATCACAATATCTCTTATTTAATTAATGCATCTATATACTTGGTAAAGGGTGGAAGGCTCGGCCTTATGCCTGGTGTTTTGTTCCACTCTTACCGCCCTAGTTTCCGTCATGTCGGTGTTATGTTCCCGGATTTTGCGTTCCTTACGCGGTTGGGTTATAATGGGAACCCCTTGACAGTTCGCCTTGAATAAAACTCCTCCAGCAATGCCCAACCTTGGTTTTACCATTTGCCTCACCACCACCTACTTTTCCCTTGGGAGTCACTCTCTCTATGGTCATCTTTATTTTAACCCCCCCGGATCAGTGCTCCTCTGAGTGTTGGTCCGAATTGAGCTGCCTGCGGGGCCACCTCGGGGAAACTTGAGGGTTGGTTTTACTCGTAGCTAGTCTCATCTGAGTGTGCCCTGAGAACGAGATATGTGCAGCTCCTATCGGGATTTGTCGGCACATTTGGGCGGTGTTGCTGGACTTGTTTTACCATTGTCGAGGATGTCTTGTAACCGGGATTCCGAGTCTGATCGGGTCTTCCCGCTAGAAGGAATATCCTTCGTTGACCGTGAGAGCTTGTGATTGGCTAAGTTGGGACACCCCTGCAGGGTTTTGAACTTTTGAAAGCCGTGCCCGCGGTTATGGGCAGATGGGAATTTGTTAATGTACGGTTGTAGAAAATCTGAAGTTGAACTTAACTAAAATACATCAACCGCGTGTGTAACCGTGGTGGTCTCTTTCCGGCGGAGTCCGAAAAGTGAATACGGTGTTGGAGTTATGCTTGGCGTAGGTTGTTCTAGGATCACTTCTTGATCATAGTTTCTCGATCGTGCTTTGCCTTCTCTTCTCGCTCTCATTTGCGTATGTTAGCCACCATATATGCTAGTCGCTTGTTGCAGCTCCACCTCATACCTTTACCTTACCCATAAGCTTAAATAGTCTTGATCGCGAGGGTGTGAGATTGCTGAGTCCCTGTGGCTCACAGATACTTCCAAAACCAGCTTGCAGGTGCCGATGAGACTGTGCAGATGACACAACCAAGCTTAAGGAGGAGCTCGATGAAGATCTTGTCCTTTGTGTTGTTTCGTTCTAGTTGATCAGTAGTGGAGCTCAGTTGGGGTCGATCGGGGATCTGTGTAGCATTTGGGGTAGTCTTCTTTTATTTTGGTTCCGTAGTCGGACCTTGATTGTATCTGATTGATGTAATGTTTTATTCATGTAATTGTGTGAAGTAGCGATTGTAAGCCAACTATGTATCTTTTTCCCTTATGTATTATATGGGTTGTGTGAAGATTACCTCACTTGCGACATTGCTTTCAATGCGGTTATGCCTTTAAATCGTGCTTCGACATGTGGGAGATATAGCCGCATCGAAGACGTTACATGCATGGTCTTGGTGAGCATATGTGTGCTATGTTGTTGGGTTTATGTGTGCACCCGTGCTCCCTAGTCAACGTGCAAACCCACGGCTGACGAATGATGAAAATGAGGAAGTATTTTTATATTTTTAGTATTAGATATGTATGGGTAGAGATGCAAGTGTGATTCCCATCTTCACATGTCAAAATAAGGAAAATAGCATAGAGCCAAAAACAGATGACGTCAATAACATGCAAAATCCATAATGAAAATTTAAATTTCTTTCAGCACGAGTGTCCAAATCAAAACTTTATGTCATCACTGTGTATCTCATGACAAGATGTTCGAAATTAAGTCCCACACAAACATAGTTCGACAAATATTTATGGAAAAGAAACTCTGTATCACACAAATCAAGTTTATTTATATACTACAAACATAGAACGATATTTTGGAGCTCGGCCTTCATGGAGGCTGATTTTTTTGAAAAACTCAAAATTCATACTTTTCAGTTTTAAAAAAATCTGAAAAAATTGTACAAATATATAAGGATGTGATGTGTATGTGTGTAAAATTTCATAATAAAATACTTCGAGATGCGATATACGCAAAAAGAACAAATTCATGGACTTTTGGTAGTTGAAAAGTCGGAAATTTGTCCTTTTTGCACAGCACTCATTTCAACGTATTTCGTTCTGAAAATTTACACATGTGTGTGTTATGCCTCCACGTATGTCCGTATTTTATTTTAGTTTTTTTTTGAAATATAAAAACATGAATTTTATTGAACTTTGTTTTTTTCAAAAACCAGCCACCATGGAGGCCGAGTTCGAAAAGCAATTTTCGGTACAAACGAGACATGCTTTTCTACCACAACAATGAGTCAATCATTTGTCATATAACATATCAAAGATTAAAGGTTAAAAAAACATATCAAAGATTAAAGGTTAATTCCCCCACAAAAAAGGTTAAAGGTAAAGATAATCGAATTTATACTCCACTACTACCAGGCATCAGAAACCACGAAGACAGACGGAAAAAACAAGACAAATAACCGTCCAGTCTCTGCAAACCACATCACAAGTTGAGAGAGACAAACGGTTGCCTCCACATGGCACCCCCGGTAATCTCACCTCCGCAGTTCACAGCAGCTGAGCTACCCCCGCTATCTGGCTCGTCTTCCACCCGAACAGCTCATGATTTCCCCACTAAACCACACCAAAAACCGAGCCCCCTCCCACTTCCGCCCACTTGTCCACGAACCCCCAGCCATTAATTTCCACCGCCTCCACCTCTCCCCCGCTTCGGCGCTGCAGCAGCCATGGAGGAGGACTTCGAGCGCGCGGTGGAGGACGGCCTCAGGCTCTCCAAGCGGCTCGTCCTCCCGGGCGGCGCGGCCCCGCCGCGCCCGCACGCCGGGATGGACCGCTACGGCGCGCCGGACGCCGCGGCGGCGGCGTCGCTGCTGCCCGTGGCCCCCATGGCCTACGCGGTCGTCACGGACCCCGCCGCCGTCGACAGCCCCGACGTGCCCAGCTACCAGCCGCACGTCTACGGCCGCCTCAGCCCACCCGCGCTCATCCCGCTCCAGATGCGCGAGGTCGAGCTGCGGGTGGACTGCGCCGCCGGGTGCGCCACCGCCCAGGTCACCCTCGTCGCGCGCTGGTGGCTGCACTGCCTCACCCGCAGCCGCGACTGCGACTGCCGCCTCGTCGTGCCCATGGGCGAGGAGGTGACCCGATTCGAACCCTCCCCCCTCCCCTTTGCCATTTCGCCGTCGATTGGAATTTGCCGTTGCGCTTGATTTTGTTGCCGTCAGGCGCTGGAATGATTATGCCGATAAAGTTTGCGGTTATTCTCAGTTAATTTGGTTTTGCTTTAGGTGGTCGGGGCCCATGAATTTGGCTTTGCGCGTAAATCATTTGCGCTGGACCGCACATGGAGCCAGCCACTTGCAAATGCGTGTCATTATTCATTATAGTCATGCTTGCTGTTGCTGGAACATTGGGGGTGCCGTTATAGACGGTTCCGTTTGGAGCTCCTTTGCTCTTGGACGTAGCTAGCTCTCTGCTGGCTGTGGGCTCCATCGTTGTTTACGAAGCAAGCGAGACCCATACCAATCATGGAAATAAGCTTCATCAAGAAAGAAATATTCTGTTTGTAGTTTGTACACTTGTCTACTAATGCTTTAGTTTGCACAGTCAATACTATTTTTAGGAAGTGCATTGTTTTTTAACTTGTCATTTCCGTTCGTCCTAGTCAAATATCTTCCGGTGGCCCATACAGAACATTCCTTTCAGCTATTTTGGAGAAATGCAAGTTGAATGACATATTAAATAGTGCATTTGTATGGTCTATGGTCTTTGTTTTGTATGTTCATGTTTACGAAATGCTGTTAGGGTTCCATTGTTTTGGTTGCATTTGGGTGTAAGTTAGCAAATACTTTAGTCTAAGCTCAGAAGTGAGAGGCCGAGAGCAGTTCATGGAAGCTTGATTTCTATCTATTTTTCAGGTTTCTGTTATTTGATTTATTGAACTTAGGCACAAATAGGGCGTGACAGCATGCGCAACAGGCTTAATGCATGACTGTATTCTCCTGCGTCTCCTCTGTTTTGGACACCTGCCCACTAACATCTGTCCCACTTGACAACATGAAGTGCCCCAACCTTTCTGTTTCAGCCCGCATCCCATATCGGCTCTCATTTTTGCCTTATTTTTCCTTGGTCTATCTGATAATTTAGCTATTTTACTGAATACACGTTGATCAGACTGGTATTCTGGATTCTAATTTGGTTTAGGTATGCCCGTTACTGGCGCATCATTTGTATCTCAAACAACCATGGAACTTCAAACATGCTCCGTTTCTGCTGCATATGAACATAAAAAATATGGCGGCTTAGATAAGAGCGTGGCGACAAGATATTAGGAAGCAGTCATGCTACATGTTTGATATTCCTAATCTGTTCCAGGTTACAGCAGAGGCTCTCCTAAAGAAATATTCACAAAAAACTATGTTCTTTATGAAGTCACATAGTACTGAATACATATTGAGATGTTGTCCATGCGGCCATGAATACAAGGGTGGAAATCACCTGGAAATATGTGCATAAACAGTGAGAAAAGAATAGCAGTTCAACAAGTCATGTTGAGCATTGCGAGTAGTCATCAAATCATGAGTAGTCATTGTAGCATTTGTGGTAACCCTACCATGATGGGCAAATGCAATGCTTGAATTTGTTTGCTAATTTGAATTGAATAAATTGGTAAGAACACGCATCTATAATGGTTATTGTTTACTAGAACACCTCGGTAACTGCGTCACTTGTGTGTTGGTCATTGCTACTACGACCTATGTTTATTAACACCATACTAACTACATCACGACTACAGTGTAATATTAGTTGGAATAGCCAGATAACTACATCACCACGAAAGAGAACCTGTACTACTTCTCTAGTCAACATCGAATGCAAACAGTGCAAGTAATGTCAGTCATCACTGTATGCATTTTAAAAAGCAAACATACACTTGCTATTCTGTTTTATGTTGCAACATTTCTTAATGCATATGTGTATATATCCGGAATGCAGTTATTTTTTTGATTTACTGGTGATCTCAGTCTAAGAATAACAGTTTGGCTAACAGGGTTCAATTCTAGGCGCTGAGGTTACTGTTGGAAAAAAATCGTACAATACTCATGTAATTGATGTAGATGGTAACAGTCCTGTGAAGATTGTTAAAACTGAGAGTGGTGGTATTCTGAAGAGCCAGTTTTTTCAATTGACAATACCACAGGTACTTGTTTTGTAGTCATCAGTTTCCCAACTGCTAGCTTGTCAAGATTCAAGCTTTCAGCAGCCATATCTGCCTGTGCTAACTATTTTCTTTCATTCCGCCAAGGTTGTAGGAGGAGAAGACATCTTTGCCACAATTAGATGGTCACAGAAGTTGTTGTATGATAATGGACAGTTTTCTGTTGATATTCCGTTTCGGTTTCCACATTATGTGAACCCTTTACCTAAACTTTTCACAAAAAAGGAGAAAATTCAGTTAACTGTGAATAGTGGTGTGAGTAAAGAGGTTTTATTGCGGGGGACCAGCCATCCCTTGAAGGTAATCAACTTTTTTGTAAGCACCATTTGGTAATCTGTCCGATGTCATGGTTATCATGAGATGTTCTTGTGCATTTTCAGGAAAAAACCAGGCAGGGTGAGAAATTGTTTTTCTTGCATGAAGCTGTGGTTGAGAATTGGTCTATCAAAGATTTCACCTTTTCATATAGTGTAAGTTATTCTCCAGTAATCTATTTAATTGGTTAACTTTACCTTCTCTTCGGTACTTCTAAAATAATTTTGTGCTGATTATGTTCCACGGCCTTTCATATGTGAATATTGAAAGCAATATGTGTGCTATGTGTTCAAATATGAATTTATGAATATGTTATGCACATACAGTACATGGCCCATCCAGCAGCGAGTTAGGGAGATGATCCCCTTGATCTCTGAGTTACAAAGTTTATCAATTAAATTAGGAATATATTTTTTAGCTTGGGACTCAAACCAATTGGAGATAATATCTGTGATTTGTTACTTTTGGATTGTTAGACCTCTATGTAAAGAGAACCCCCTATGAGGAGTAAAGCAAGCAAGATCTAGAAGAACAGTTCTTCTATCGTGCATCCAGGGGCGAGAGCCTCTTCCATTCTTCCTAACCATAGTACACGACATAATAATACCTTAATATTAGTAGTTTAGTCATTAGCATGCTACAAGAATGCAACGAATGAAAACATTGTACCAAACAAATACAGGGAGTGGGCCACATCACTGCCACATCAGTAGACGAGACTGCACGGTGCTATCTTCTCTGAGTGCGGTCCGATGAGACTCCTGCCAATGAGTGTGGGCCCTCTCCCTTTACTGATTTGTTTGAGGTCCCAAATCATACAGATTCAGATTTTAGGGTTGAAGGACAAACCTCTTTCAATAAACACTTTATTTAATTAATAACTTTTGTTAACATGGTGACTACAGCGTTTACTGCATGGTTACCATTGAGATCAGTGTCATTACCTAATGCATCGTTCATGTCTGTAGGTTTACTCAGGTGATGTGTCCGGTGGAGTGCTTGTGCAGCGCTCAACATTACGTGACTATGATGACAGAGACATTTTCAGCATTTTTCTCTTACCTGGAAATAACCAGAACAGGAAGGTAGTTCCTTTTACTTATTGTCTTGTTATCTTGACACTAGTAACTAAACTATGTCAGTGTGGAAATCACTTGATGCTTGAAGATAACTTTACTGAATTTTTTTTACTTAGAAGTTTGTAACTCACTGAAAGTATTTAAGGTACTTAACTAAGTTTTTTCGTGAGTCGTGTTCATTCTGTTTTTCATGTTGACATTTCTTTAGCCCTACTTTCTGTGTGGAAAATTTACCAATCTAATTCAACATGACACATTATTTTTTATCTGCTTTTGTGCTTCGTAAAATATTTCTGTGAATGGATATTTATCTCATTCAAGTTATGTGATAGATCTTCAGAAAGGCAGTTGTGTTTATTGTTGATACAAGTGGAAGCATGCAAGGAAAGCCTATTGAGAATGTTAAGAATGCCATCTCAACTGCTGTCTCCGAGCTTGAGGAAGGAGATTACTTCAACATAGTAACATTTAATGATGAACTTCATTCATTCTCATCCTGTTTGGAGAAAGTAAATGGCAAAACAACAGAGAATGCAATAAACTGGATGAACTCAAATTTCGTCGCCCAGGGTGGCACTGACATCATGCATCCTTTGACCGAGGTACAATATTTGGAAGACTATACCAGTTCACATTTATATATGATTGATGCCACTTTCAGTGCTCACATTACCTCTTGTGCTGTAAGGCATTGGCGTTGCTGTCAGACTCTCATGGCGCACTTCCACAAATCTTTCTTGTGACCGATGGTTCAGTTGAGGATGAACGGAATATCTGTCACACTGTGAAAACTCAGCTCACAAACAAAGGATCTATTTCCCCTCGGATTTCCACTTTTGGACTAGGTAATAGCAAATATGATTTTTCTTATTTACGACTTAACATATTGCTCTAAGATATACTGGAAGGAAATAACTGTTTGATTTTGTGGTCGTGTATCATGTCTAAGGTGTTATCCCTCCATACAACACATACAACTTTACCAATTATAAAATATCTCTCCATCCCAAAATGTAAGTCCTATTTGTTTTGTCCCAAGTCAAACATTTTATGTTTGACAAAGTTTATAAGAATAAATATTGGTATCTATAATACCAAATAAATATACTATGAACATATATTGGTATTGGTTTTGTTTTGTAGATGTTGATTTTTTAATATAAACTTGGTCAATCTTAAGCAAGTTTGACTTAGGACAAAACAAGTAGGACACACTTTTTTTTCCATGAACATGCAAAAAACTTTGCGTATCATTTCATTAACACCCAAAAAAGCTACAGCAAGGTACTCAAATGAGTCCGGACACCCAAAACAACACACACCCAAGTACTATCCTGGGATCAGATTGAGCAATCCCAGGGCACCCGCACGGGACCAGGCCCGGCACTATTCTTGAATGACATGTAGGAGGCGACGAACGTCAGGGGTTGCACCATTGAAAGTTATTCATTCCCATGTTGAAAATACATCTAACTTCATTCTCTCACGTATCCATTCTTATGTGTAAATCCTTTTGGATTATTTAAATTTCTTCAGTAAAGAGGGATGATATTGGAGACATCAATATTTTATTTTACTTGTATGATTGCCAATTTTTTTTACCCGGAATAGTTTTTTATTATTTGTACTTACCCTTTGAAGCAATATTAGGTTCGTACTGTAACCACTATTTCTTGCGGATGTTGGCATCAATTGGCAAGGGGCATTACGATGCTGCGTTTGATACAGGTATGAACAAATTGCCGCCTTAATCCTCGAACCAGGCAGTGTTTTGTTCTACGCACTACTGAAACTCAAAACTCTGCATTATGCTCTAATGATCCAACTTTGGTAAGTTCCGGCTAGGACAATCTTATGGATTTCAGCTCTAGCCTACCCCAACTTGTTTGGGACTACAGGTTCTGTTGTTGTTCCCAACTTAGGTTTTTGGTTTATAATCTGTGTACACTGTGATTCTCGCAAAAAAAAAAAACTGTGTACATTGTGATTCCTCTCCTTGTACACATTCTTACTTTGTTAATAAGATCATTTTCATTAGGGCCTTCACCATTGTTTCTAGTCAAACCAAAAAACTTGACGTGCATATTGATTGTACAAACTTATTAGAATTCATGCTGAGTAGAGACTAGAATTTGATGAGATGATTTAAAGGTGTATGGAATCATTTTGTTCCTGTTCAGTTTTGCACTCAACAGCATGTTGCATTATGGAATCATATGATTTAGTAAGATGGCAGATTAGTTCTATGGCTTATTATAAGACACAAGTTTTGATTTATTTGTTTTTTTCTATTTCATCCAGCATCTCTGAAGTGCAGTAAACTTAATTGTTTATAAGTGTCTTGGCTGTACTAGAATTTGCAGGATTTTTTCCAAAGTCCAATGATATACTTTGCAAAACTGAAGTTCTTCATTCTGATTTTTGACACCAGAATCAATTGAGGGTCGAATACTTCAATGGTTCCAGAAAGCTTCATCCACAATCGTGGCAGACATTTCAATTGATGTCACAAAGCATACCCAAGAATTTGAAGTGAGTTCTATCTCAGCAAACCTGTCAGGCTGTCACCTTTTAGCCATGTCACGAAAAAGCAACATGTGACAGTCATTTATTATTAAACACTTTGTAGTAAGTTGTGTGTTAGGAGCTAGGGTTCTGCCGGTTCTAGGGTGGAGATTGTAGGGGAAAGATGGAGGAAGACGAGGTCGAGGGCGCGGCAGCTGGTGGCTGGGCGCCGTCCTTGCGTGGTGGAGAAGAGGCGGCGGCGGCGCAAGAGGCGGCTAGGGTTAGGTCTCCCGGCTCCCTAAGGGAAGCCGAGCAAATACTGATTGCTTCTTGCTTGATTAGATTGATACATCTCCTCTCCTTATATAGAGAGGTTTACTTGACTCCTAAGCAAACGACCCTAATAACGATAAGATAATTGGGCTAAGCCCCTAATAACGATGAGATAACTTGGGCCACAGCCCACTGGGCTAAGCCCCTAATATGCCGGTCATAACACTTCTCCCCGCCTGCACAAACAGCTCGTCCTCGAGCTGTAAGGCGGGGAAGTGCTTGCTGAACTCCTCGAGGTGGTCAACCAGCGTCAAACACCTCCGCGACAGCTGGGGCGGCCAGGTCGCCGAGCCCGGCAGCGACGACGTCCTCCTCAATGTAGTCTGTAGCCTCCAGGTAGAAGAGTCGGGGGCAGACGTGGCCGGGCATGTAGGTCTCGTCGCAGTTGAAGCACAACCCTTGGCGGCGATGCTCGAGTAGCTCGGTCGAGGTGAGCCGCGGTCGCGGCAAGGGGTGTCGTGGAAGCTTGAGCAGGCCAACCCTGCGCGGGAACATCCGACCAGGGTGGCGGCCCAGCGGCCCGGGATGGTGATGCCTGCTGGATGGCCACCGCGCGGCGCTCGAACGCGCGGGCGTAGTACATGGCCATCTGGAGGTCTTGGGGTCCTTGCAGCTCGACGTCGACGCGGATATGATCTGGTAGACCGCCGACGAAGAGTTCGGCCCGCTGGTGAGCCGTCACGTCGGGCGCGTGGCACGCCAGGGCCTGAAAGCGGTCGGTGTAGTCCTGCACCGTCGAGGTGAAGGGAGGGCGGCCCAACTCCGCCAGCCGGCTCCCACGTATCGGTAGTCCGAATCGAAGGAGGCAGAACTCACGAAAACGCTCCCATGGGGGCATGCTGCCCTCGTCCTGCTCGAGGGCGTAGTACCACGTCTGTGCGGCGCTGCGGAGGTGATAAGAAGCGAGCCAGGTGCGGTCCAACGCGAGCGTCCATTGCCCCCGGAAGAACTGCTCGCACTGGTTGAGCCAGTTGAGGGGGTCCTCGGCGCCGTCGTAGGTGGCGAAGGCGAGCTTGGCGAAGCGCAGCGGTGTCTGAGCATGACCGCCGTGAGTGTACGGCTCGGCGGTACGGAGCAGCGAAGAGGATGGCGTTGGTCCGGTGTGCACAGGTGGTCCACAGGAAAGCGGTGGCCCGTCGAAGCCAGCGTGGAAACCCGCGGAGCCGGAGGGCCCGTCGTACGGCAGGGAGGGCGCCGGCTGGTCCGCGGCCATGGTGTAGACTGGCGGCGGTGACGTCCCGGCCAACCAGGCCGGAAGATGGGACGGCGAGGGCGGGAACCGCACTTGCTGAATCGGCATGCCCGCCGGCACGGTTGTAGTCAGCCCGGTGCTGGGCGGCGGAGGCGCCGGCAGCGGCAGCTGCTGCTGCCTGGAAACGGCGGGCGCGGCGATGGCTGTGGCCGGCCATTGTGGCCAGATCGGGGCGGTGGCGGGGGCTGGCTGTAGCTGCAGCGAGGGCTGCGGCGGCCCGACCAGCGTCGCGGTGGCCCCGGGGTGCGGCAGCTGCCAGGGCGGTGGCGGCGAGGACCCGGGTGGCGTGGGTGACGCGACGAGGGCTGGCGCCGGCCACTGCGGCCATTGGGGCGCGGCGGAGTGGTGGTGTAGAGGCCCAGTCGGCGCCGCGGGTGCCGAATACCATGGCAGGGCGGCTGGCTCGGTCGCGGCGGCCGGCGGCCCGTAGGGGCCGACTACGTATAGCCGTATCCCCTGGACGGCGGTGACGAGATCGTTGAGGACCCCAGTGATCTCTGCCGGGGAGTAGACGGCGGCCGGTGGTGCCGTGGAGGGCGCCGTCATCTGGGTGGTGGCGGCGCCGGAGGATGCGACCATCGGCGTGGACGGGGAGGGCAGCGGCGCGGTGGAGAAGGCTAGCGGCGTGGTGGTGACGGTCGGCAGCGGAAGCGACGGGATGGGCGGCGGCGAAGACATGATCGGAACTGAGCTACCTGATACCAAGGTGTTAGGAGCTAGGGTTCTGCCGGTTCTAGGGCGGAGATTGTAGGGGAAAGATGGAGGAAGACGAGGTCGAGGGCGCGGCGGCCGGCGGCTGGGCGCCGTCCTTGCGTGATGGAGAAGAGGCAGCGGTGGCGCAAGAGGCGGCTAGGGTTAGGTCTCCCGGCTCCCTAAGGGAAGCCGAGCAAATACTGATTGCTTCTTGCTTGATTAGATTGATACATCTCCTCCTTATATAGAGAGGTTTACTTGACTCCTAAGCAAACAACCCTAATAACGATAAGATAATTGGGCTAAGCCCCTAATAACGATGAGATAACTTGGGCCACAGCCCACTGGGCTAAGCCCCCTAATATGCCGGTCATAACATTGTGTGTAAATGCTGAGTGGAGGGAGATAGGGAGAGTGAGGGGGCATAAAGTGGTTCTGTGTTTTGGGGTATTCAGTTGACTGCTCATTTTGGGAGCACTCAACAGCATGCTGCATCTTTAATTTTATGAAATAAATGCCCTCCTGCATTTGCTCGTTTTCTTCTGATATAAAGGTGTGGATAGTTGGTATTTGATACTTAAGACCATCTAACTTTCTTTCTTCATATAAGCATAGCTGGATTATCCATGTCTCTTAATTGAATCTTTTCCCCATTCAGGTGGATTGTGAATATATTCCTGACATTTCAGCAAAATATCCATTATTTGTTTCGGGAAGATTCCGAGGTGAACTGCCGGAAACTCTTTATGCTGAGGGCTATTTGTCTGACATGAGTAAGATATCAATTGAATTGAAGGTCCAACATATAAAGGACATACCTCTTGACAAAGTAAGTTTTTCACACTTTATTCTAATTCTATTCAAAGGCACTCTGCAGTTACTTATGTCTTCATAGACCTAATTTTGGTTGTGGATGATGTGTTTTTTTTGGGATATTGTAACAATTCAACTTTCGCCAGTCATCAAAATACAAGGTAGCTGAGGAACTTCAGTAGTTCTTTTTTGCGAACAAGAAACCCCGGTAGTTACTTGCATATGCAATCTAAAGCATCTGTTGACCCCAACCGGCAGTTATAATAACCAGATATCACTTCAGCTTACCAAAATGGTAAAATTTGTCTGGACCATCTCTGGAAGTATTTACTGACCATGGATTTTTTGAAAGGATTTACTGTCCATGGAGTGAATGGCATGGCAATGAATTAAATAAAATATGTCACCCTTCACTTTGTGCACCAAGACCATTGTTTATCCTCGCAGTGACCAGACACAAGGAGAGGGCGACAAATAGCATTGTTTTTAAACTGATGACTGGTCCCTTACTATTCACCTAGCCAGTTTTGCCAAACCGACTCGGCTAGCAGATGAAGTCAAAGTGACTTGTCGGCTGGTTTACCAGCTAGCTCCGAGCCTCCGACTAGTAGTCGAGTTGTAGTTAGAAGCCCCAAAATATATGTCCGACTAGGCAACACTATGTGACTTGAAACCTCCTGCTGGCCTGAACTCCCTGACTATTAGGCAATAACAGTCGGTCGACTAGTCTAAGTCAGCACCTGCCTGCCAACTGAATACCTCGACTAGCTGTGACTAGTTACGACTATCCAGTACTGCGAGTCTGCGACTAGTCTATGAGTTGGTATCCTGGAGACACGGCTCGACTCGTCGACTCGTAATCCTTGTAGCATTGGCTGGTGGTTGACTAGTCACTTAGCCAGTTGGGTGGTGCCTTGGCTCGACTGGTCTGACTTGAAAATGTTAGTTGCATATAAGAATTTAGAACCATTGTTGTCGTAACAGATTACAGAGCCGTTGAGCTCAACATGTGCTCTAAGTGTGCGTCGAATAGTAAGCTTGTGGAATTGTTGTTGAGGGTAGTAACTGGGAAATATTATGTGAAAGATTACTCAAAATTTTATAGTCCATTTTATTTTCAAATTTCAGGTGTTGGCAAAGCAACAGATGGACCTTCTAACAGCAAAAGCATGGCTTTCTGAAAACAAGCAACTGGAGCAAATGGTAACGTATATTCTGGGCTAATACCTCTCATCACATCTGATTCTGGGCTTCAAATTCTTAAATTAAGCCCTGCCTGTTAGTGTTAGGTATTAACTTGATATGACAATGTTCAAGTGGTTACTTTAAGGGCACTCCACTCCACTGAACTCGATGTCAAGATTAGAGAATAAATTATAGCAAAATATGAGACGATGACTAAACACAAGACATGGTTATCGTGTACTTGTATTGTTGTGGCGTTATTAGCACAATTAGAGTCCAGTTTGGTTACTACAGCAGTGTAGCCGGATTAAAGAAATAGGGATATGTGAGTCAGTTGTGTCAGAGTCGAAGCAGAGCCCTAGTGCTAGTTGAGCACTACAAGTCCTAAGTGCATCTATATCCTTCCCCTAAAAATTGTCGCCAGAATCTCGCCAGAGGTCGGCAAGGAAGACGAGAAATCGAAGAGAATTTACTGAGATTGGGAGTTTTCTGCCTAAATTTGAGCAGGCCGGGGTGGGTTTGGGGTTAAAAGCTAGTCTACTTCAGGAAGGTATTTTGAATTGAGAAGTGGGTGAACTGGGTGCATGTAGGAAAGCAAGATGAATTCAAAGCAGCTCTATGTAAGGCGCGGCATACTCTTGCATATTCTAGGACATCAAGCTTTCTTTTCTCTGCGGAAGTCATTTCGTTCTTTTTCCTGCAATCAAAGGTTAATATATCCTTGCTTGAGATTATCTTTTGTGATGTGCCCGGAAGCTTAAAGTTGGAATATTCACCTTAATGAATAACATTGTTTCTAATTTTTAAATTTTTTTTTGCGAATGTTCTAAAATCTGCTCCAGTGCTCACATTATTTGAATAAACAGGTGGCAAAAATGAGCATGCAAAATGGCATTCCTTCGGAGTACACACGGACGGTCCTACTTCAAACCATCATGGAAAAAATAGATCCAGCACAACAGGTAATCATATTGTCCCAACAGATTCATCCTTCTTTATTATGTCTCGGTTGATATTGCCAACTCAGAACAATCAAAGATTAAATTCGATCTAGAAAACAAACGGAGCAGGTCTCGCTTAGAACTCAGTATACTGCATTGCCTATTAACGTAATTCTTCAGACATTCTAGTGTCTTCAAAGAAAGTTCAGAGAATGTATGATCAAGCTTGCTGCTGCACTTGTGCAGGGAAAACGGAAACCAAAGAAACCAGAGGAGCCTTCAGCGACGCCGCTGCAGGGCCTGACACTCGGCTTCGGCAACGTGCCGGCGACGACGGAGAACCTAACCTCGGGGTTCGGGGACATGAGGGCGCCGGATAAATTCGAGATGTTCGGGAAGGCGGTCGGCGGCTGCTGCGGCCGCGTGGCGGACAGCTGCTGCTGCTGCATGTGCTTCATCAACTGCTGCAGCAAGATGAACGACCGGTGCGCCATCGTGCTGGTGCAGATGTGCGCCGCCCTCTCCTTCCTCGGCTGCTTCGAGTGCTGCACGGAGCTGTGCTGCGGCGGGGGCGGGTCCGATTGACGACGGCCCGAGGAAAGGCGTGGTGTGTTGTACAGTAAAGTGTGCATAGTGTTGCTGTATAGGATGCGCGTCACGTATATTTATTGTTGTATTTATGTACTGCTTGATTGTGAGGCCTCTCTTGTCAATATCGGCCGGTAATAAACCGTCTGGTGCACTGGCGATGTAAAGCGAGCTAAGTGAAATTAAACGAAGAGAAATGACTACTAGTCCCATGAGAACATTTTTTTTTCTCTGAAATGCACAAGAACAGTTGTTTTTTTAGGGAAAGCCTTCAAGGCATCTTATTGAACTTCAATTAGGTTAACATCATTTGCAACAGCATCTAAAATGAAAATACGCGGATCCACTTACCACGCAGAGGTCCCTCCGCCCCACTAGCTAACAAATGAGCAACCTTATTGCTTTTCCTAGGGACAGTGAACAAAAGAAATACTCAAAAAATGCATGTTAAAAAGCTGCATTCTTCAGACTTCATAGATAGCAGCAGCTGGACCAACGGAATTACCCTCATTCTGCATGATCTGAATAACTTCCATGTAATTACAATCCACTATGACCTTTGTTGCATCCCGAATTTCCTGCTAGCATGAGTCCATCCTGGAATGATCGAGCCTCGGCTGTTGCAGCATCCGCAACATACTCCCTCCGTTTCTAAATATTTGTCTTTCTAGACATTTCAAATGACTACTACATACGGATGTATGTAGACATATTTTAGAGTGTAGATTCACTCATTTTGTTCCGTATGTAGTCACTTGTTGAAATGCCTAGAAAGACAAGTACTCCCTCCGTAAACTAATATAAGAGTGTTTAGATCACTACTTTAGTAATCTAAACGCTCTTATATTAGTTTACAGAGGGAGTATTTAAGAACGGAGGGAGTAGTTGATAACGCAGGAACTAGCAGAGATAAATCTGCCTTGATCATCCAGAATCACCGCGCCCGTGCCATCCGAGCCTTCATCAACAGAAAACGAAGCATCTACGTTTAACTTCACAAAACCTTCAGTAGGCTGCTCCCAGCCATGTCTTCGGACTTTCCTGCTGGGCTTCGCTGCTCTCTTACATAATTCAGGACGGCCGATGCAATGCCTTGAGCTGAGCGCGTGGGGGTTTGAACGTGTTCCCCTCTCACGATGCGCCGCCGCTCCCACCACATGTACCAGCAGGCCGTCGCCACGAGCTCCTTGAGTTAACCTGCATTTCTTTTTCTTTGCGGGTCGAGTTAACCTGCATTTAACCTCCTTTTGCCCAACTGAGGCGCACGAGACGTTTCGGTCTCTTGTGATATCTCAGGCGACTACTGTTTTGCTGGGCTGTCCAACGTCCTCCTTCCGGCTTCCCCGCTCTGCGGTAGTGTTCGTGGTGTGTCCACCAACTCGCGTAGAGCATCTCTAACAGATCTCGTAATAAAGATCTCATAAATTGAGTCATTCGATATAATAGCCGCCGGTTTACGGGATGTAGACTGTAAACCCGTCTTAAACAGATCCTTCAAATCCCGCCGTCCTAATTGTTTGTGGGATCCTGAATCCATGAGCCCATTTCCTTCATATCTATGGGATTTCACCCGATTTTGCCAGTGTCCATTTCCGTTGGCACGAATCCACTTCCGCCGGCTTCAGTACGCGCCTCCACTCCCCGTCGCTGCCACCGCCGCACATCCCCGCCCCTTGTTGCTGCCGCCCACTGCCCCGCGCCGCCCGAAAGCTCCGCCGCCCCGTGCCGCATCCATTCCACCTAGTTTCGGCAGCAGGGTGCCCATTTGTGTCCATGGCTGGAGGACGCCGCCGGCGCCATGGGTCCGCTCCAGAGCTTGGCGCGTGGGCTTGTAGTTTGCGGATCCGGTTGGTTCCGGTGCCTGTGAGCGGCACGTGTCGGAGGAAGAGGACCGCACAGCTTTGCTTCGGCCGGTGAAGAGAAGAAAGGGGCGGCGCGTGTAAAACATATGATTTGAGAACTGCTCGACACCCTAAACCGGGGTGTGGCTATCTCATTATATAGAGGTATCCAAGGGGTACAATACAACGTTACAGTATATTACAGAGGCTACGTATATATAGTCTAACACCATCCCTCAATCTTCACTATGGCCTGAAGTATAAAGCAAGTTAAGATTGCGCCTACAACCTACAAACTGTGGTTGTGGAAGAGGCTTCGTGAAGATGTCAGCAAGTTGATCCTTTGACGAGATGAACTTGATACAAAGTAGTTTCTGTGCAACACGTTCCCGAACAAAGTGATAATCCACCTCAATGTGTTTTGTCCGAGCATGAAACACCGGATTAGAAGAGAGATATGCAGCATCGATGTTGTCACACCACAGAACCGGGGGATGAGCTTGAGGGACACGCAACTCTCTCAATAGAGACTGTACCCATATAATCTCAGCAGTCGCATCAGCAACAACTTTGTACCCAGCCTCAGTACTACTGCGAGACACTGTTGCTTGCTTACGAGCATTTCAGGTGATCAAGTTAGGACCGAGGAATACCGCATAATCCCCCGTGGATCGCCTGTCATCAGGACTACCAGCCCAATCTGCATCAGAAAAAGTTGAGAGCTCATACGAAGGTGTAGGCTGAAGAAGCAAACCATAGGAAGCAGTAAGACTGACATAGCGCAAAACACGCTTCACAGCTGACCAATGAGACGTCCCGGGTGCATGCAGAAATTGACACACACGGTTGACTGCGTAGGAGATATCAGGCCTGGTAATAGTAAGGTATTGCAGACCATCAACAAGGCTGCGATACTCAGTAGCATCATCAGATGAGAGAGAGTCACCATCAAGAGCAGACAACCGATCAGTGGCGGACATCAGAGTGATAGCATGTTTGCATTTGAGCATTCCAGCACGGCACAACAAGTCCAAGGAGTACTTTTTCTGAGTGAGAGTCAACCCAGCGGAGGACCGTGAAACCTCAAGACCAAGGAAAAAGTGTAGAGCACCTAAATCCTTGATAGCAAAATCATCACGGAGGGCAATAACAAGACGATCAGCAGCAGCACCAGAGGAACTGATGAGAATGATGTCATCAACATAAACCAAGAGATACATCGTAACCTCAGGGCGCTGTAGGAGAAACAGCGACGTATCAGCAGTGGAGGGAGTAAACCCAAGAGCCCGAAGAACAGATCCAAGGCGCGCATGCCACGCACGAGGAGCCTGTTTGAGTCCATACAATGCCTTAACCAGACGACAGAGATGATAAGGGCGTGCCGGATCAACAAAACCAGGCGGCTGACGCATATAAACCTCCTCCTCCAGAATTCCATGTAAGAAAGCGTTCTGCACATCGAGCTGACGAACAAACCATCCGCGAGTAACTGCAAGAGACAGTAGTAATCGAATGGTAGTAGGCTTGATGACTGGAGTGAACGTGTCTTCATAATCAAGACCATACCTCTATTTGAAGCCCTTGGCAACTAGCCTTGCCTTGTAGCGTTCAATTGAGCCATCAGCATGTCTCTTGACTTTAAAGACCCACTTGGAATCAATGACGTTGACACCAGATACTGGAGGAACAAGACGCCAAGTGTCATTCTTTTGTAGAGCCTGAAACTCTTGTTCCATTGCAGCACGCCAGTGAGGAATACTCAGTGCAGCCTGACAGTGACGAGGCTCTGTAGTGGGATCGGCAGCAGTGTGAGCCATGCACGCAACAAGCCATGCAACCGTCCCATCCGTGTGTTCCTTTGGACAAAAAACACCGGATTAGCTCCGTGTTCGAGGCCAAAGAGTGACAGCAGACTGTACTGGCAAAGTCGGTGCAGCAGATGACGTTGACGAGGCCGGCACAGAACCAGGCGAGTCGAGCTCAAGAGAGACCGAGTCAGAGCTGGTCGGCGACCCGGGCGCCAGAATAGGACTGGCCGGGGTAGGTGACTGCACCTCCGGGCCAGTGGAGGCAGCAGCCGGCCCAGGCGAGAGGCCCGTCAAAATGAGGGAGGCCGGCACCAGGTCGGGCGGGGCTGCAACCAGTGGACCAGGCGAGTCCAGCTGGGAGCCGCGCGAGCCAGGCGAGGCTGGCGCTGACGAGGCCAGCATCGGGCCGGGTGGGGCCAGCGTGGAGCCGGGCGGGACCGACGCCCACGGAGCAGCCTCCAAAGGTGAAGCGGGGACGGGTTGGCGGGCGCCACCCAACATGCATGACACATGCACGTCCCGATCAGGAGACTCCTCCGTGACCTGTTCATCAAGAAGCTCAAGCCGAGCGCCGCGTCCAATACCTGCAGCATGATTAGGAAGCAACACAGGGGCATATGCAACATCCACAAATTGATCAGGCGAAGGTATAGACATGGGCACCGGTGATGTAGAAGTGGTAGAGTTAGTCGGAAGTGCACGAAAAGGGAATACATTTTCATCAAACACAACGTCACGAGAGATATAGACGCGATTGGTAGGAACATGTAAGCACTTGTATCCTTTGTGAAGAGAACTATACCCGAGAAAAACACACTCCTTAGACCGAAACTCTAGCTTACGCTTATTATATGGACGCAGGTGAGGCCAACATCCGCACCCGAACACTTTGAAGAATGTGTAGTCTGGAATCTCATTGAGCAAGAGTTCGAGCGGGGTTTGCATTTTCAGAAGTCTTGAGGGAAGCCTATTTATGAGAAAACAGGCTGTGGAGAAAGAATCACTCCAGAACCGAAACGGGACGAATGCATGAGCTAGCAAGGTTAGGCTAGTTTCAACAAGATGACGATGCTTACGATCGGCAGTTCCATTCTGCTGATGTGTATGAGGACATGACACGCGATGCGAAATCCCAAGTATGTTAAAAAACGAGTTGAGGTTGTGGTATTCACCCCCAGTCGGATTGAACATGGATGAATTTCTGCTTAAGAAGACGCTCAACATGTGCTTGAAACTGAATAAAGACATCGAACACATCAGACTTGAGCTTAATAAGATATAGCCAAGTAAACCAACTATAAGCATCAATAAAACTGACATAATAATTGTGCCCACTAATGGACGTTTG